CCCTCCTCCTTTTCTCCACCTTCCCGACTCTCCTCCCCTCTCGATATAGAGCTGCTCTTCCCCTCTCCTGACTCGTCCATCTTTTCCATCTCCATCTCGTTTGCCTCCTGCGTTTCTCCCTCCGAATACTCCCCGTCCTATCTATGTTCCTCCCTTCCTAAACTCTCTCCCGCGGCTCTCCGTTCGTTCTCCATCCGAGCCTCCTCCTTCCCCGTTTCGCTCCTTTCCTTTCTTACCTGTCCACGCTCTCGTAATCTTGCCTGCATCTCGCCTTGTCGTCTACTCCTCTCACTCTGCTTTCTCTCCCTCTGTCACTCCATCAACCTCCTCCTCTCCTTCTCCTCTGTGAACGCTCTTCCTCTTCCGCTTCTCAATCTGCTCTCTCTCTCTCTTCTCTCCTCTCTCTCCTCTCTCTCTCTGGTCTCTCTCCCTCTCTCCTCTTCTCTCTCTTCTCTCCTCTCACCTCTCTCCCCTTTCACCCTCCCTCTCCTCCCCTCCGTCATCACCTCCTCACCTCGCGCCCTCTCTCTCTCTCTCTTCTTCTCGTTCTCTCTCTCCTCTTCATCTCTCGTCCGCCTCTTCTGCTCATCCATGCCCCTTCTGTCCTGCCCTCCCCTCCCCTCGAGTGACCTCACTTCTCCCTCTTGTCTTCACGTCTCTTTCTTTCTACTTTAATCTACTCTTGTATGTTAGTTTTTTCTCTTTCCTTCTCTCGTCTCTGTTCCTGATTCTCCTCTCTCTCCATCCCTCCGCTCCCTCCGCTATCCGTTCCTTCATCTCTCTCTGTCAGTCGCCTCAGCAAGCAGCTTCTTCACTCTCATCCTCTTCTCCTCCTCCTGCCTCAGCTCCTCTTAATCCTCTCCTCCTCCTCTCCTCTCATCCTCTTCTCACTCCACGTCTCACTCCACGTTCTCCCTCTCGTCTTCTTCATCTTTTCCTCTCCTCCTCTCCCTCGCTCCTCCTCTCTCTCTCTTCTCTCTCTCTCCACTCTCTCCCTTCTTTCTCTCTCTCCGAAGTCTTCAGTCCATCATCGCATTCACTGCTTTGGGTAATGGTGGTAACTATGACCACAAGAGCCACCTTTGACTTTGACATCCTCACTTGTTCACTATGAAAATCAAACTGAACTTTGACTAATAATGTTTTCTTATTTATTCTACTGTAGAGACGTAGTTATATAGCGAACTAGAACACAGAACTGAAGGATACCAAATACGCTCTCAGTATGGTAAGCTTCAGTCCTTAAGAATTATTCCTTTCCAGATATATAATATAAATGACTTCAAAAAAGAGTTACAAGAACAATTATAGCGCACGGCGAAAAATTAAGAAGAGACTTGCGATCGGTAGGATAATAAATAAAGAAGTTTACAGCGATGTAGAAGGAAATTTAAATAGCTACTCAGACTGGATAACGTTTATGTCAACTAGTAAGTTGAATATAATATGTACAATTGAGACCTGTGTAAAACGAATATAGTGCATTGGAATTAAATAAATGAAGTATCAGTTACAGAAGCAGCCGTATTCGCTATTACCCATGTTTATATAAAAGTAATACGGGCAGTAATACAACTAAACAGAATAGCTGAGGGCAGAGATACGCTGTGTGACGATGTATCATCTCACGCTCTATGAAGGAGAGAAATAAGCGAGTTTAAGTAGGCTCATGATTGAGTCAACTATAAACCTAACCAACCTTAATCTAAATGTTACTAAACCTATATCGTAAACTGGTTAGTGATTAAGATATAACGGTTTGAAGGTAATGAAGAAAATTTAAGGATTATGGAATAAATATAATATTTGAGGGTCATAGATTTAGTTTAAGGTTTAAAGTATAGTTAGGTTAGAGTTTGGTTAGGTTAGAAATGATTGGTGAGTTGGGTTAGGTTAGAAAGAAGGATGTGGTATAGTGTTAGGTTAGATTAGTTCTAGGTGCCTCAATTTTAGGGTTTGGATAGTTTGAGAGGGAAGGGTTGGTTCTGAGGGTTAAAGCTTAAGGTAGATTAGGTTTAAGGTTAGCCCTACGGTAGTGACCGGTTAACTCGTGCGGCTTTTTTGTTAGCGGGCTAAATTGGCACACTGCTAGGCGTCAGGCGTCTCAAGAGGCTTTAGGGTGTTAAGTAAATGACTTAGGTTTAGGTAAGCCTTCGGTTGGCTAAAGGTTCACGGAGTTTGGGTTGAGTTATATGTCATTTTGTTCATAATATTATTAGGTAGTTTATGGATTTAGATTTTTGGTTAGGTTATTTTATTTTAAGGTTTTGGTTGCTTAGATAGTGATTGTTGGGTTAAGGTTTGTTTATGTTTAGGTTATGTTGTTAGGGTAGTTAGGTTGGTTTTAGTTTAGTGTTATGAAATGTGGGTTAGGTTTTGTGTTTATGTTGGAGTTTACGATTTGGTATGTTTAGTGTTTACGTTGTGTTTGTGTTTGTAGGTTATAGGTTTAGTGTTTAGGGTTTTTATGGCTTATGGTATAATGTGTTACGTTGGTTAG